GTGGGCTGATGCGGCCCCTCTGCCCTAGGAGGAGTTGTGAGCTGACACAGTGGGGCGGGGTCCCCCAGGAGGGGTGGTGGGCTGATGCGGCCCCTCTGCCCTAGGAGGGCCTGGGCACCGGCCCAGAGGCCCCGAGCTTGCTAGTGGTGCGTAAGGTGTCCGTGTCCCGCATGCTCTCGCTGCCCAACGACAGCTACATGTTCCGGCCTGTGGTGCCCGCCGCCCCTCAGCCGCTGCAGGAGGTGGAGATGGAGACCTACACGGGAGCTGCAGCTTTGGGTGCGGCAACCTCGGGTGCGGGGAGCAGGGGGGTCCAGAGGGTGGGACGGGCATGCCATGTGGATGCCGTTCTCCTCCAGGTACTGTTCCCCCCGCCAGCTCGCCCAGGGAGCCCCGTGCCACCCTCCAGGTGCCGCCTGAGACGATGCCCATGCCGACCCCAGCCACTCCTTCCCCAGCGAGGTCCAGTGACACCCTGCGGGCCCCCTCCCCACGAGCCGCACCCCGCTCCCCTGGCCTTAGCCGGCTGCTCTGCAGACAGGTATGGGGGCGCCTGGGCCCTCAGGAAATCTGTCTCCTGTTTGGAGGGTGCGCAGCAGCAAGGCCCAGAGGGGCCGCGTCCTCGGGCTCCGGGCCTTTCTGTGCCTGCAGCTCAGGGGGAGTCCTGGGCACGGAGCCCAGTGTGGCCACATTGTGGGGGTTTCTGCAGCCTGTGATGACAGGGGCCCCCATATGGGGACCAAGCCCCCCACACTGGAGCTAGCAAGGCTCAGTTCCCCATGGTGGTTCCCCTCCTCACCACCCCAGGGTGCTGTGGGGAGAACCTCGCCCTTAGGGCGCCAAGCTGAGCTGGTGGGGGCAGCGCTGGGGAGGGTGCTCAGAGCCCCGCCCTCTCCTCCTCACAGCCCCTTCCCCAGCCGTGACCTGCAGCTTGGTGGGCCTGAACACCCCTGCCCACTGCCCTGTGGGCAGCAAGTGCTGGGAGGCAGAGCAGGGCCCAGGGGCCTCCAGGGGTGGGAGGGGTGAGTCCAGCCCCATCTCAGCCTGAGCCCCAGCTTGGAGACTCCCAGCCCTCCAGGGACCTGTCCACTGTGGCCGGGGTGAGGGATGGGGTCACTGCACCCTGGGGCTCCCCCCTCTGACATGACCCCGCGCTCCCCACAGGAGGCAGTCCGCACAGACTCCCTGGAAGGACAGGTAGACGGCTGCCGGGACAGCACCTCGGGACCAGGGGACTCTGGGGAGAAGGCGGCAGCCAGGCCGGCACTGCTGGGGGCCCCCCTGCGGACCCCGCCCCGCTCCCCGAGGCCCGTGAGCACGCGCACCCGCGGGCACACGTTTGGGCAGCCCTGCGTGGCCAGCCGGCCGCCGGCCGCTGACGAGGCTGCGGACCTGGCTGATGAGGAGGTGCGGTGCATCACCAGCGCGGCGCGGCCCTGGCCTCCCGAGCCCGAGCCCCACAGCCCCAAGGCCTCCCTGGCCGCCCGCGGGGGCCTACGTCGACTCTGCAGTGCCGATGGCTGGAGCTGCCGGGCGGGGCCGGGCCGGGCGGACGGGCAGAGGCAGCCGGGCCCAGAGCCAGGCGGGGATGGCAGGCGCGACGAGGCCCCCGAGGCCGAGCCGGCCCTGGGCGCGCGCCGCAAGAAGAAGATGAGCCCCCCCTGCATCTCCATCGACCCTCCTGCGGAGGATGAGGGCGCCGGCCGGCCCCCCGCGGCCGAGGGCAGCAGCACCACCCTGCGGCGGAGAACCCCATCCTGTGAGGTCCCACTGGGCCTGGCCGTCCCCCACAGGGACCCCCTGGAGCCCACAGAGGGCCCAGTGACCGGGCTGGACCCTTCGGGCAAGGGAGAGCGGTGGGGCCAGGCCTCAGCCCGGGCAGAGCATCTGACGGTCCCGAACTTTGTCTTTGAGCCATTGGATGTGGGGGCCCCCACTGGGGACCCCTTTTTGGACAGTGGCCAGGGTGTGGCCCCAGAACCTTGTGTTTTCTCCTTGGGGGCCACGACGCCTCTGGAACCCCCCAATATAGAGCCTCCTGCGCCCTCCAGTGACAACCTAGAGAAAGGGCAGGAGGTACTCATGGTTTCCCAGAGCCCCCCAAAGAAACCAGGGTCCCCCCCAGGCACCCCTGCCCCAGATGACAGCGTAGAGGAGCCTGTGTAGCTCTGGGGTTAATGCCGTGAAGGGCTTTGTTCTGGGATCTGGGGTGCGCCCAGGGGATCAGCCGCAGGGCAGCGGGCTCTGCTGGACCCCGGCTGGGGCCCCTCCCGTGACCATGCAGCCTGGGAGGCCCCGTCCCCAGGGAGTGGGAGGCGGTGCATTTCCTCTGTGAAGCTAAACAGGAAGTGGCCAGAGTGGCCTCCTGGCCGGAATGAGCCTGGAGCCCGAGGGCCCCGCACTGTGGCCGAGCCCGCCCGCCCGGCTCTGGGGGCCGTCTGTAGGTCAGAGAGATGGCGGATAACTGCCAGAAATGACCAAGAAGAGCAAACAGAACCCACCCGCCAGGCTCCGTCCACATAGAACATGTATTTTTCTAGGGAACACACGCTCGGGCCCCTGTGGCCACCACGGCCCAGCTCACCTCCGTCACCGTCCAAGCCCTCCGCGTCCGTCTGTCCTCACCCCCTGGTCACGTCCTGCCGTCACTGGAAGCTTTGGGTCTCTCTCTCCATGTCCCTGTCCCCCTGTCCCGTTCTGCTCAGGTGTTTTAGAAGACACCACCCGCTCCCGGGACACAGCCACTTCACACTGAGCTGTGACAGTGCAATAAGAGGCCTGCCTCCCCTGGGAACCCCGCTCACCCGGGCTCGGGCTGTGGGGTTTCAGATGACGCCCCTCCGTTTGTTTGATCAATTCAGGTTCCACGTTGCAATAATCTGATGCAGAAAACTCTCCACTTCTCGAGTCAGGGAGGGGGAACAGGCAAAGCAGAATAAACGTTAACTTATTTAAGAACTGTCATGCTGATCGCGGTCCCAGCATGGGGGTGGCAGGTGCTGTCCTGAGGAGTCCCTCTGTCTTTTTTGACCTCTCTTTGGTAGAGGGAGAGTACATTGGGGTGAAGCTGCCCCTCGCCAGCTAGACACCGAGCCCCAGCCACCCGTGGGGCTTACCCCAGCCTCTCAGCAGGGCTGTCTGGTCTCCACCAAGCTGTGGCCCATTGCCTCCCGCGCCGACCCTGCCAGCCTCTCGGTTGGCCGCAGGGAGCTGGAAAGTTCTCCTGTAATGAGGGAAGTGGTGCATGGTGCCCACTGCACCCGCTGGGCCTCAGTGGTGCCCCGCAAAGTGGCCACCTAGCCCGCAGTCTCTGTGGGCTCCCTCCCTCCGCCTTTGCCCTCCTGTGCCGCTGCATCCCAGCATAGCTGTACCTGTCTTGAGAATATTGAATTGTACAAGCTGGACCGCTGGCTGGTGAGTGTTGTTTGGGGAGGCAGGGGTGCCCCCTCACCCGCCCCCTTGCCCACCTCGCTCTTCTCTGTTTGGGGAGGCAGGGCCGCCCCCTCGGCTGCCCCCTTGCCCACCTCACTCTTCTCTGTGTCTGGGGAGGTAGGGGTGCCCCCTCGCCCACCCCCTCGCCCACCTCGCTCCTCTCTGTGTCTGACAGCAGCAGTGCTCCCTCCCACCCCCCAACTGGTCCCCTGCTGTCCCCTAGAGTTACTCTGCCGGAGGCTCAGGGATACAAAGATCATACAGTCCACCTGCTTCGGGGGGCTTACGTTGCAGACAGGACCAACTCTGGCTTCATCCACCCCCCGCCTGGGGTCCAGCATGGAGGCTCCCCAGCCCAGTGGGGACAGCTGTCCAGGCCTGTCCTCTGGTCCCCAAGGACGGTCACCTCTCCTGTCTCCCTCACGGCTTGGCTGCCATGGTCTGTGACAGCTGCCCACTTCCTTTAAGTGGGTTGTTTGGGTCAAGAGCTCAAGATGGCCATGTGAGCGTCCTGGGGCCGCCGTGACAAAGGACTGCAAGACGGATGACAGGACAGACATTTATTCTCTCCAAGTCTGGAGGCCAGAAGTTCCCCTCCAGGGGCTCTAGGGCAGGGCCAGCTTGCCCTGACCCAGGTGGACAGCGAGGCTGAGCGGCTCCCTGACCTAGACCCCGGGGGCAGGTAAGGGGTGGGTGGAGCCAGCGTAAGTTTGCCTTGCACCTACCAGCCCTGCCCCACGGCTTCCTAAGGGCCTCTGCTTTGCCTTGCGAGAGCTCTCTCTGGTGGAGACGCAGAGAACTGCAGGTCGCGGCAGGGCACAAAAAGCTGGGGACTCCCAAGGGCTGGGAGAGCCCTGTGGGGTGGGGCAGGCGCACTGGGCTGCAGGCGCCTCCTGCTGCGTGGCCTTGGACGAGTCAGTACACCCTCTCAGCCTCCGTTTCCCCACAGGGAGATGAGCTGGGACTCCTGCAGCCCCGGGCAGTAGTTCTCTGTCCAGCAGGTGGCCCTCAGCCTCCATGCCCTGCCCAGAAGAGGGGGCAGGGACGGGTTGTGTGACCAGTGGTCAAGGGTCAGAAGTTGGAGGGAGGGAGATGGCTCTGCGCAGAGAGCACTTGGCCACAAGGACAGAAGCAACGAGGAGGAGGAGAAGTCCGGGGAGGAAGAAGCCAGCCAGGAGAGGCAGTGGGGCGAGCTCTGAGCCCCAGGCTGCTGGGACATGGAGGCGGATCCAGTTCACTTAGGCAGGGACGAGGGTGTAGACACCAGGCCTGTTGGGGCGGCCGCAGCCCTCGCCCCAGCTCACCACGCTCACCTGCAGCCAGGTGCCGTCCACCCGACAGACCAGAGGCCCTCTGGAGTCGTCCTGGGGCAGAGCAGGGGGTGCTGGGACGCCAGGGGGTTGGGGCACCCCTCACAGGGCTTTAGACTCCCCTACCCTCCCCACTCGCAGCCCGCTCACCTGGCAGGCGTCCCCGGGGCCCCAGGCACACAGCACATCTGGGGATGGTGCCACCTGTGCCACTGTAGCCCTGTCTGGAGGTCCCTGTGTCCACAACGGAGACTTCTCCTCCTGCAGGCTGTACGGGCTGAGGGGGGGCAGAGGCTCTGGGGGAGAGGGAGATAGGCTGCAGGGGAGTCTGGGCCCCAGCACTGCGGACGGTGGGGGAGTGGGTGCCCTGACCCAGTCAAGATACAAATTTTTCACCAGGTAAGGCAAGTCACTGACATACTGGGTGTGGACAGACATGGACACCTTAGTGTAAACTAGCGTCTAATAGACACCCCGGGGGTGGACGGACGTGGACACCTTAGTGTAAACTAGCGTCTAACAGACACGCCGGGGGTGGACGGACGCGGACACCTTAGTGTAAACTAGCGTCTAA